GAGCTCTCTGCTTTAATCAGTGAGGATAGGTTCCCCAGTGACAAGGAACAAGAGTGAAAGGCCCCTCCACCGGCGCCTCGCCCGCCTCGCCCACCACCCCGTGCTTCAGCACAGCAGCACGGTTTGGCGGAGGTTTCGAACACCCCTTGATGAAAATTGTTTTCTAGGCCCATCATTGACAAGGGGCTGACAAATATCACACTATTTCGTGCCTACACATTCGATCAGCTGCACTGGAAAAACAGAGGTGTTAAGTAAGTCGCACCTTTAAACATTGCGTGTACTGTAAAGCCTTGGCACACAACTGCCAAAAGGCACGAATATTTGGAACAAGGTTGCGACTTGGCACCTTAGTTTTTCCAGTGTGGTCGTGAACTGAACGTGTGACTTACGCTGAGATACTTACAAAAGCGCATTATTTGTACATACACATACACTATTACTCTCTTCTACATGAAGCTCGCCACAAAATTGCATTTCAGCTCGACGGGCTCGCCGTGCCCCGCCCCGGCCCCGCCTGTTTGTCCAGCCTCCCCATCGCACTCCAGACAATATGCCACGTGTCGCCGTGTGCAGCGCTTCATTTGCGAGCTTCTTGTTTGCTTGCCGCGCCAGTTTCGTAGCCCGAGGTGAGAGAGAGAGAGAGAGAGAGAGAGAGAGAGAGAGAGAGAGAGAGAGAGAGAGAGAGAGAGAGAAATTTTAACTTTTCGTTCTCTGTTTCAATAGTGCGCTGCGACCTCCCGGACGGCAACGTGCTGGCCGCGGGCGAGGTGAAGGTGTTCAAGGGCACGGCGCCGCAGTCGGCCGACGTCGTCTTTGTCGCGGAGCAGGCCGCGTGCCTGCGGACCGTGCCCGTCGAGGAGCTCGCCCTCAAGCTGGACGTGGCGCTCAAGCGCCAGGGTCTGACGGGCAACCGCTTCGCCGTCGTCGCCTTCGGCGGCAACGAGACCGAGACCTTCCGCGCGCCCCACACCCTGAGCACCGAGGGCCAGACCTGGGTCACGGGCCGGCACCTGGAGAAGGCCTTTGACGGGTAAGTTTATCTTGGCGACGACGACCTTAGGCCCGAGGCGCCGCGGGCCGCAAGTTGCGCTGTGCGCAGCCGGGTGTGCCGCCCACCACCGCCACTGCAATATTCATATCATATTCACCCTCGCTGCCAGAGCGGAAGGGACACAGTGGTGCTTGGCTGGTGTTCTCCACCAGCGCAGCCGGGGCGAAAAACTGGCATACACACAGACCGCTTAATGCTGCTCTGCTTGCTACCACCCCCTCCCCTTTCCTATTTCGCAACGACTAACGCACGTGGCCCGGCCCGCCTCTGCTTCTCCGTCAGGCTCAGCATGTCGGCGGACGAGCCCTCGGCCACGGCCGTGCAGGACGCGTACGACGCGCTCTGGTACGCGGCGCGGCTGCCCTTCCGCGCCGGCGTGTCCAAGACCCTGGTGCTGGTGGCGTGCCACGAGTGCGGCGGCGACGCGAGCGAGCACGCCGACAGCTTCTCCGACGCCGTCGAGATGCTTATGGACGGCGACTTCTCGCTGCACGTGCTCGAGCCGCGCGCCGTGCGCCTGCGCAAGGCCAAGATGAGCAAGGCCAAGTCCGGCAAGGCGGCCGCCAAGGCCGCCGTCAAGGAGGGCCGCATCTTCGGCGCCGACCGCCAGGGCGTCTTCACGCCCAGGAACGTCAAGAGCCTCCAGCCCTCCGATCAGCTGAAACAGGTGAGCGCCAGCGGCCAAACCGCGCCCAAAAAAGTGAATTCTTATGGACCACGTAACATTGTACTTGGTCCTTGATTTCTCAAGTACATATCTTAAATTAAGAAATATACAAGTGCTTTAAAAATGTACTTTGACCAAGACCTGATCAATTGACCAAGGACTTAGCTTTTGGGTGCGGAAACGCCAAGCCAACGACTCATACAAATAACTACTCACACCACCTTCCTTCCCCCCTCCCAGGTGAGCATGTCCAAGGACCTGTGCTCGCCGCTGGCCCTCGAGACCAACGGCACCGTCTTCAACCTGGACCGCGTGTCCAACGTGGCGCTGGGCGACGGGCCCGCCATCCCCGTGCTCAACAAGCGCTTCCTGGACGTGTGGTCGCGGCGGGTGGCGTCCCACGCCCAGCCCGCCAACTGCCAGCGCTGCGACTGCGTCGCGGACCAGGACGGCAGCGGCAGGGCCATCTGCCAGAACTGCCTCTCGCCCGCGCTTGCCCAGGACCTCAAGGTCGGTGACGAACAGTTTTTGTCCCCCACCCCCACCCCTCACCCCA